CTCATGCAATGCAGGTTAGCTATCACCTTCTCACTAAAAGGACTACAAAGATGGGAATATATGAGAAGCTGCTAAAATACAAGGTATGATAGTGGAATGACCGCTCCTTTCACTTCCCTGCCATTGTTGGACAGTTGTTTCCAAAGCTGTGAGGTGATTTTGCCCTTCAACTGCTACAAGGAAGGGGAAAAGGAATGTCTTTTATCTAGACCATGGCATGGGTTAAGCCACTCTCGGGGTTTTTTGTTGGAGTTTTTTTTCGAGATTCCTTTTTTGTTTAACAGATTTAGTGGATTAAAATACAAGTTAATCTATAACATTTTACTTTATATAGCTGTGTCCTAGGCATATCCAGGAGTTTCTGCTTACAGCTGAAAGCAGCTTGCAACTTGTACAAGTATTTGCCCTTTGCTGCCACGTGGGACAGTAGAAGAGTGAGCTGGATATTTTTCTGCCTTGTGTGTGGGCACAATAGTATTCATTTTCTTCCTGAATGTCAGTTTTCAGTAGTGTATGATGCAAAGAGTCCAGTTCCTCTCTTAGGTTCTGCCTGTAAAGTTGATGATCAGTGATAGTAAATGTAGATAGGTCTGACCTGGGTGCATGAAGAGATATGAACATGAATGATCCTGGTTTTGTCATGTCACTTCTTTAAGTAGGGAGCTGCCCTTTTACATTGTCAGTGTTCTCACAGATATAATGACGTAGATTTAGTAGGGGCCTGCAGCAAGAAGCACCGATGCTTTGCAGCAAATGTGCCAGGGGAGTTTGTACCATGCATACAGAAATCCTGTAGAAGCTGTGAGATTGCACTGAGGTAATGATTCTGTGAGATAAAGGGTTAACAGCTGACCAGTGAGTGTGGACTCTGCATCAGATAATAGAGAGGACATAGCTGAAATATTCAGCAAGCTTGTTTTTAATTGAAATATAAACAACGCTGTTTTCATGGGAAGTGCCTTTCAGATATACTTGTTTCTAGCCTGGGAAGGGTTGTACAGCGTTGGTGTTCTTTCTGCAGATTGCATGCTTGGCTGCCAGTGGCTTTTCACTCTTAGTTTAGTATTTTACACCTGTGAAAATTGGGTATGAGAAGAAATGCCGCATCTGTGAGCGTGACAGCAGTCCTTCCCTTGTGCAGTGTTCAGTGCTCTAAAGGTAATAACAACAGTCCAAGGCCTGAAACAGGGAAGAGTTAAGTCTTGGTCCATTTCTTCAAGCAAGTGCTGTTATTGGTGGGAGGAGGGGACTTTGCTGTGTAAATGCTTTAGATTAACTCATATGCACATGGCTGAGATCGCATTAGAGTGGGAGAAGATTTTAAGCTATTTCAGGAGGAGTGCCACTCCCCTTCCTGCCCCCAGGATCTTGGTGACTGGAGTCCAGTGACTCCCCTATATAGTCTGGTATCAGGAGAACAGACAGGCACAAAAACAAGCAAGCATGTGGAGTTAAGCTTGTGATCATAATTCCCATGCCTGCAGGGAATGCATTAACCTCTCCCGTACAGTAGCAGAGGTATCTCAACCTGCACTATAATTGGGAAGCATTTGCAGGTTCATGTGCAGAGAGGACATGTCTGTTGCACTTACGGTATTTTGTCTTACAGATTCTGCTTTTGGTAGATTGATCTGCTTTTAGCCTAGTCAAAGTTGTGTTTCTGGGGAGGCTCTAGTAGTCTTTAGACGTACAACGTTAGTTTGACCAACCCACGTTCAACTAATCAGCTTTTTCTCAGATAATAGTTAAGGCAAAGTAATATTACTTTATTATATATTGAAATCATCGCTCAAGGCTTAACGTCAATCTTTATACTACTTGAGCAGACAGTCAATCTTGGCAATACTTGTGTAAAAAAGCACCACTTACTTCAGCAGGCATATGGCCTAAATCATGGGTTTATGCAGCCAGCTTTTTCTGACTGTGTTTGCACTAGTATGAGAATGACTGTAATATATCTGATCTATTAGATAGATCCAGATTCAGATTTGTCTAGCTCTTCCCCACCACACACATTTCTGCAGTATTTCCTTGAAGTTCACTTTCACGACTGGCATGGATATAGTTAAAGTAATGGGTATAGTTAAAAGACAGTGTTGCAGTTTTCTAAACTGAGTTTCCCTCATCCAATTAAATGTTTGCTCTGTACAGTATGTGTGCTATGTGAGGAATTCAAATGGTTTTCAGTCCAGACACTGATTTGCAGATTTTCTTATCTCAGGCATTTCTTTTAAGTACCTTGCACCCTCTTCATTCAAATAATAGCAGAGCCAGGCTCTGCCATGAATTGAACGGAAAAGAAGATTTATTTAGACTTGTTTCAGTGGCACTCACAGAAATAGTGAGAACCTTCCTCCTTTTTACACTGGAAAGATTTCTTTATGGAAAATATGCATTAACATGATCTTAACTTTTTGTAGGACTGGAATTGTTCCCTAACTTTCCTGTGTATTTTTTCTCCCTCAATCTTTTGAAGTATATCTACTCAAGAGACAGTAGTTAGAGATTGTTTCATCTGTGATCGTCCTACTGGGTTCCAGTCCTGCAAGTGTTGAGGTCAATGGAACTATTCTGATGTATGAAGCTATTTAGATGTACAGGCATTTGCAGTATCTTAGTGCATGGCCTTTTCTGTGGTAGAAAATAATGCCGTTGAACCTGGGCTGATGTGAGTAGGTGTTGGATTGCTTTAGACTATACCAGAATAACAAAATCTAATCCTCATTAGAGCTTGACTGGTTATTAAAATGTACATGTAAAGAAGGGGGCTAAACATAAAGTTCTTCAGTAATAGCATCCACATTATTCCTCATCCAAATGCATCCCTTTTAACTATATCCCGTAGTAGTTTTGTCCAGTATAATTAAGTTGAACATAGTTCAGACTTGAATCAATTTAGAAACCAATCACTCTGATGCTCTTTGCAAGCTATGAGAAAAGAAAAGTTTACAGTTGCTTTACTTTTTTGTCTGTGTGGTGTGAACAAAGTCACACCTGAAATCGGTAGCTGTACTGGTAATTAAACCCCATGCTGCTCTGTGCTGCTCAGCTGCCTTTCAACGCCAGTTCTGTCCTTTTCTCCTCATGTGAGCAGAAGAGTGAGAGAAGAGTGGCTCCCTCATCCTCCTTGCCTCCCATCAGGTTTCTATACACAGTGATAATATACCCCTGAGCCTTCTCCAGGCTTAACAGTACCAGCTGTCTCAGCCCCTGCTCCTATGAAAGATGCTCCAGTCTCAGCGATGCTCCAGGCATCTTTGTGGCCTTGCACTGGCCTTGCTCAAGCAAATCCATGTCTCTGTTGTACTGAGGAGCCCAGAAATGGGCACAGAGCTCCAGATGTGGCCTCACTAGTGCTAAGCAGAGAGGAAGGATCACCCCTTGACCTGCTGTCAACACTCCTTCTGATGCAGTCCAGGATACTGTTGACTGCCTTTGCCATGAGGTTGCATTGATGGCTCATGGTCAGCTTGCTGTCCACCAGGACCCCACGTCCTTCTTTGCAGAGCTGTCTTCCAGCCAGCTGGCCTCCAGCATGTACTGGTGCCTGGGATTATTCCTTCCCAGATGCAGAATTTTGCATTTCCCCCTTGTTGAACTTCTTGAGATTACTCTTGGCTCATTTCTCCCACTTGTAAATGGCAGCACAACCATCTGGTTTATCAATCACTCCTCACAGTTTTCTGTTGTCTGCAAACTTGCTGATGAAACTTTATCCCATCATCGAGGTTGTTAATGAAAGTGTTGAACAGTATTGGCCCCAGTATCAACTCCTGGGGTATAATGCTAGTGAGTTACCTCCTAGTGGACTTGGTGCAGCTGATCACAAGCCTCTGGCCCCAGCCATTCAGCCAGTTTTCAGTCCACCTCACTGTCTACTTACCTAACCCATGCTTTGTCAGCTTGTTTGTGAGGATGTTCTGGGAGATTGTGATAAAAGCCTTACTAAAGTCAAGATAAGCAACATCCACTGCTCTTCCCTTAGCCACTAAGCTAGTCAGTTCACTGAAGAAGGCTATCAGGGTGGATAAGCATGATTTCCCCTTCGTAAATCCATGCTGACAACTCTCAATCATCATCTTTTCCTTCATATGTTTGGAAATGGTTTCCAGGGTTAGTTGCTCCATCACCTTCCCAGAGACTGAGGTTAGGCTAGCCAAGCCTGCAGTTCCCCAGATCATCCTTCATGTCCTTCTTGAAGATAGGAGTGACGCTTGCTCCCTTCCAGTCTTCAGGAATCTCTCCCAATTGTTGTGGTCTTTTAAAGATTATCGAGAGTGGTCTTGCAGTGGTATCAGCCAGCTCCCTCACCTGTTGTGGGTGCAACCTGTCAGGCCCCAATGGACTTAGACATGTCCAGTTTGTTTAAGTGCTTCTTTGCTTGGTCCTCCTCCACTGAGGGTAAGTCTTCCTTGATCCAGATTTTTCCTGTGGTCTCAGGGACTTGAGATTCTCAAAGGCCTGTCTTACTGGTAAAAACTGAGGTGCAGAAGGTTTTGAGTAACTCAGCATTTTCTGTGTCATTTTCCACCAGGTCCCCTGCCGCATTCAGTAGTGGGCTGAATGGGTGGGCTGAATTAATACTCCAGTGTTCTATCACTTTGGTGTTTAAATCACTGACAGTGTGTGTAGTCACATTGGACACTTGACTAGACATATCTGGTAAACACTGTGGACTGTGGAATGCAAAACAACTTGGAACAGACAGGTCTGTTCTCATCTTCAGGGTTAGAGAATGTACCGTGGATAACGGATCAAACAGTTTGAGTGGTGCAATTCTGTAATCTTTATTCCCTCTGCCATTTGTCCTGCTGGATGTTGTCAGCAATCAATGTAATGTTGTGAAATAAAATGTTAACGCTCAAACAAATAAAAGCTCTTCTTTATAGTCCTATTAAGAGAAAACCAGATCGGTTTATAAACACTTGTCTCAGTACAGTGTTCATAAAAAATGTGAGTTGTTTTTTAACTTGCCTTTTACTTTGTTTGTTTTGCTGCAGAATCTCGAAGTTACACAGAAGCCATTAACCACTCTATGGTGATGTCTGACAGCACTGTGGGCACTAACCCTGCTTTGCTGAGGGCCAACATGCAGACGGATCCCTCCTTTCAGCGCTGTTTTGCATCTTCGTGTACAGTTTCAAGTAACAGTCCTATCCCAGGGGGAGAAAGGTAGGAAAAGATTCTCCCACCTTATTGTTTCATTCTCATAACCATAGTTTCGAGCCAAGATGTTATGCTTGCGTCTTCATTGCAGAGCATTTGTCCAAGGACTTCAAGTTTGGTTGTGACATTTCATGATCATGTTGTCCACCAGCTGGAATTTACCACATACACAGATGTTATTTATATGTCAGGGGCACAATTAGCTTTGAAGATAAATAGGAATACCAAAACAAACAGGAATTTATAGCTCAGTTACTTTATTATGTGCTAGCACAAGCTCATACATATTTTCCTGTGTGCTTAACCAGATTCTCTAATGCTGTACTGAAAAGCATTTCATGAAATTTCACATTGGAGTAAGTTGTATGTAAGAGAGAGGGAGTACTCTTCTCACCATAGTAAATGCATTTCTAGTCAGTAAAATGTCTGAGGATTTGGTTTTGGTAGTGAATAGCTGACTCGCTTTCAACTTCTCAGCAGGCTGAGAGATTTCATTATTTCATGTTTGTATTGTGGTAAACATGTAGGACTCTGGACCAGAGCTTGAATAGTATAAATTTACAAAATAGTCCTTGTCCCGAGGACCTTACAGCATGAGAAATAGCAGGAAACACAGCAAACAAACAAGGAGCCCCAGGTTACTGTTGGAAGGTTCAGAAGAGCATGACAATGAATGGTCAGTCATTAGCTGTGCTCTATATTTACTTAATAGATGAGGTGTTATGTTACAGCTGATTAAGTTTCCTTCTGTATCACTCTGCAACAACATTCCTTTGTGTCTAATTATCCTGTTCTTGTTCTTGGATAACTGGCTCCTTTTTCACAGTAAGTATTTGGAATGCTGTTGATTGGTGTGTCAGACTCTCAGTGAGGGCTTCAAGTCTGTTAATATGTATTTATCTTTTATTTATCTTCCTATCTAATTGATTTCATTTTCAATCAGTACTTGAACTGCGAAAGAATGTTTTCGTTTTGTGATTATGAATGTAAATCGTAAGACTGAAAAAAGTACGTTAGTATTTTCTGAGGAAGAGGGAATGTAACATTTCATTGTAAGTGGATATGAATTAAAAGCTTATCACGCAATACAGTCATTATCAAGTTTACATTCCTACTTCAAACCTTATCTAGAAAATTTTATTCGTTTCTTTCTAAATATTTTTCTGTCATTTTTCATTTCATCTAGCAAATAGCTACAGCTGTAGGGTTTTTTTTCTTGCAATGATGTCTTCTTCCATTTGCTCTCCTTCCATTTCTTTATGGCCCTTCTACTTTGATCTGTCCTAATCTACTGGTATCCATTTCCACAGCTCCCTTTTAATTAAAAATCCTTTCTCTTTGTATGTGTCTTATGTCAGCTCTTTTCCCTTTGTATCTCACAATGAGATTTTTCTCGCTACATTTGATATTGCTGGTAATGTTTTCGAGGTACAGTCTAAGGGCATTTCACTTTTAGAAGCAAGGAGGCAATTTAAACTTTTATCAGATGGTTTCATCAGAAGCTTAGTTCGTCTTGTTTAGAAGGATATTTCTTATTCTTCACTTCAGCAGGTGGAATTGCTACCCAGTAGAAAAATCTGATGTTTACTGTTGTAATATTATATTACTGTTGAAATATAGAATTAATCAATCAAAATTATTCCATCATCATCAAATAAATTAACCACTGGACCTGCCTCCTTTCCTTTTTTGATATAAATTATATTAAAAGGGACCTGATCTAAGAGTTGGGTCTTGTGAACTGTGTTCTTATCTTAGTTATTCATTTATTGTGTGATGGTGCACAACTACCTCCTTAGCCCATTTCTTTTTTTTTTTTAAATTTTATTTTAAATGAGCATAAGAGACTCTGCATGTAAGAACTGCTGTGGCAGTCTCAGTTTTCTTCCACAAATCTCTGCCTTTGATGGCAGCCTTAGCTTAAGAAATTCTTGCCTCCTACTGCTCTTTTCCAGGTAGCACTTCAGCTCACCGTGTAGAGATCTCCAGGACCACTGTATGTGAAGCTATGCTGTGAACAGCCTTACTGAATTGATTCATATTAAAAGTAACTCTCTCAAACAGGGGGAAGGAGGATTATTTTTACCTGTCATTAATTTGATGGCCTGGTTTACAGTGCAAACTCAGAAACTGTCCTATCAGCATGGCTAGGTGGAGAGTGAGCTGAGGCAGAAAGTAATGGCCTACACTGAAGAAATGAGTGATCAGGGTGGGGCTGGAATCCCTTGATCCACCAGGTCCAGCATGTTGTCAGAGAGCACCCTCGGGTATTGTCCTGGGTGAGGTGATTCATTGCTTTCAATGATGGCTGCAGTGTGGGTTGTACAGTGACATTTAAAGGGAATGATTTGGCTGTTGTTTTATTTTTGTGTTCAATTTTTGGCTTTTTTTGACAGCTCTTCTGCAACAGAACGTCCGTGGCTTGAAAGCAGTTCTAAAGCTTCCCCGTCACTCCAGCTTTCAATGGGAAACAGCAGGCCGCTGGGAGGTTACCTTGTGCCCTCTGAATTTTCAAACGCCGTGCAAGATGTATCTCTCTTGTCTCATTTCCAAACTCCAGGACTGCAAGTCATCACCCTGAGCAGCCTGGAGAATTCACCAGTAGAGCCACAGCAAGAACCTGCTGTCAGCAGCAGTGCCCGGGCCTACCTGAGCTACAGTGGGGGCAACAGGGGCAGTAGTTCCCCCCGAGAGGAGAAACAAGCTACTTTCATAGCCAATACTAGCATCTCTCCTAAAACCATGAGCTCATCAGTGGCAAGTGCCGAGGACAATGGCTTTTTGACGCAAAACTTTCTTACAGTGGCCTCTGGACACAATAGCCAGAACAGTGCAGTTCAGCAGCACCATGGAGGGAACCTACATGCTCAACCGCCTCTTCCAGAGAAAAAGAGGTCCTCTGAAGGAGACCGTTCATTTGCCTCCGTGTCACCTTCTTCGAGTGGCTTCTCTAGCCCCCACAGTGGAAGCACAATCAGCATCCCCTTCCCAAATGTCCTCCCAGATTTCTCAAAAATGTTAAGCACTTCCCCAGTGCCAGGTACGTTCTGCATCAGAGAAATGCAAAATACATTAGATTTTATATGAGTTTATAAAAAGCATTTAGGGGATTTTAAAAGTGGGGAGAGGGGAAAAAAAGCAATGAGAACAGCACAGAGGACTTGAATGTTTGCAGTACGTGGCACCAGTTCACTGGCTTTGGATGTATTATTCAGAGAATTCTTTCTGTGCTTCCCTAGATGTCAGCCAAGGGCAGCTGACCTTTTGAACTGCCAAACCACAAGCAAGTGGTGTGGAGTCCAGTTTCTTCTAGTAAGGGCTGGCTTCTCTCTACACCTTTCTAGACTTATGTCAAGAATAGTTAAAAATGTAGATGTGTATTCCCTGGACTCCATTGAGAAGCTTTGTATTTAGTACAGCTTTATAAATGTAAGAGTTCTTCATATTTTATGCGTTTTGCAAAATGAAACTTCAAGAATGCTTTCAGAATCTTAGTGTATGGTATTATATTAGCTGGTTCTAAAACAGTTCAGAGTTTCTCTAAATTGTCCTTCTGATAATGAGTTTTTTGAATAATTAAGGTGATTGGAAGTTGGAAAGAAAAGTAAAAAATGCTTTTGTATTTTAAAAATGTCTTGGTTTTTTTTTTCCCTTTTATTTTACAGAAAACACAACTGATAAACATGTGACCGTAAAATTTGTCCAGGACACATCCAAGTTCTGGTATAAGCCAGATATTTCAAGAGAACAAGGTATATCAACTGATATATATTCTGGCATATCCATTCACAGAAAGGCTAGTTGGTGAATTCTCCTTAATTTTTTTGATGCATACCTGATGTCTGAAAGAAATACAAGAAGAAATAAAAAACCTGGAAGGGCCACAGACCTCACTTAATTTCTTCTGTCCAAAGGCTGAATTTGAGAGTGGAGGGCAGTCAAGTAGTCCTTAAAAAATATTTAGTTAATCAGACAAATTATTAGCCTAACTGAACTAACTACAAAGTAATTTAAATCTGCATGTGGTAGCTGCTGCAGATGTACTTTACTGAAAAGCTCCAGGTTTTGGAATGGCAGATGTGCGTGATGCAATACCGAACAACTGTCTGCTCTCAGAGTACAAGTGTGCTGTTCTGGCAAGATCTCAGCCATGTGTGTTTCCCTGCACAGGTAATAGGTGGAGAGATGCTAAATATCAGAGAATAATTCATTAGCTAGAAGTCATCATAAAAACATCCTCATCTACCAGTCGTTCTGTAGCCTTGAATTTCTTTGTCAGCTGCAAGTGACATACATTATTTCTTAAAGGTGACAAAATAACACTCCCATGGAAGAACATCTTTATGGTGTACAATACAGATATAGTACATCTGTATGTAGATGTATTATTGAATGAGATGGAGAAAGCTTTTATTATGTATGTGAAAATGTATACCTACAAACTTATACCTTGTCCCTGCAACAATGCGTAAATAAAGCATGCTGGGTGCTTTGCAAATGCAATTGGTCTGACGGTCCTTGTGTCCATATTGTAATATTCAGCTATACTGAATTGTATTTAATGAGTTATGGCAGGATTTTAAACTGGGATTCTTAAAATGTGGTTGTCAAAAAGGAAAAATGATTAATTAGTTCTGCATTGGGAAGGAAGTTCACACTAAACCAAAATAGCCTTCAGCTATTGGCAAATGATGAATTGCTATGTCTGTCTAGTTCATAGTTTCTCAAATGGTGAGGATGCCTCTTACAGTTTAGCGGTAAATATGAGCCCAGAAGAACAAAGATCATAGAAAACAGATCATTAATTCATCTTTGGATGATGTTTTACTCGCCCTTTCACTCCAGTCCCCTTCCCCTTGTCTGCTCATTCTCACAAGGAGAACTGAGTCTTTAAATGTGGAAAAAACATTTCCTGACTTGATGCGAGTCCAGAGAGGGGAGTAGATCATAAGGGAAGTTTAAAGCTAGCTGCTTGAACAAAGGAAAAGAAAGTCTTCCCAGCTTTTTAGTATGCCTTTTTTTCACCCTACCAAGTAAAATTCCTTTTAAAAAGTGTTTTAAGATGCTGTTGCTGAGGAGGGGGAGCACTTGTTCTTTTTTCCTGTGCTTAATGGAATGCTCCTGTGACAAATGATTACTGTCCCCCTGCAGATCTGGAAGTGTTATACAAGTACTGCTGAATTGCAGGGTTTTATATATTCATCCTTGTCCTCTCAACACATGACAGGTTATTGTGAAAATAGTTGTTTTCCTCACCATCTGACAGATGAATAGAACACAATATATATGCATTGGCTTTACTCACTTAAACAGGAGAGACAATTATGTTTGCATTTTCCTGATTTTCTTTTACTACTCTTCTTTTCATGGGGCAAAAAAATGCGTGTGTGTGAGTGTTTATGATGTAATCATTGCTCAGGCTTTGCAAAGTATGGCTTCATGCCCCATTTGCATAATTTCCATGTTCTGTGTATACAGACAGTTAAGGACTCCAGGGTCAAATCTGGGCTTTTTCCAAGGTTTCTTTGAAGGCTTGCTGATCGTTAGAAATTCTGGAAACAAGCAGAAGTATTTCCAAAAAGTTTAAGGAAAAAAAGCAAAAAGCAAAGTACTAAAGTTTTATTAAGATCAAATTAAGATCAATCATTAGATGAACCTTTTGTCTTTTTTCAAAGTGAGTTTAAGATTTTGGGCTACTAGATTTCAAAGTCTGCAGCAGACTCATGCAAAACAGGAGCAGTTTCACTGCCCATGGTTCTTCCTGGGGAGGACTTCATGTCACACTTCCAGCAGAGATCACAGAATGTAGATGTAAAATATTTCAATGCTCGGACAGTCAAAGAGCAAATACTCACTTACATCCCTTCCTTTGCTTTAAAACTAGTAAGGGAGTGAAACTGCTTTGCAGGGACAGAAACTTGGTGGTAGATGAAAACAGATCTGCTCTGCCTGTTGAAGCTGCATAAGAAAAGAAAGAGAGTGCTGTCTAGTCAGCCTGGGAATTAGAGAGCTCTGCTCTCTGTCACGCTTCTAACAAGTTGACAAAATGTAAGCAGGAATCAACTTGCTCTTGCATTGGTTGTAGAAATCCTGGTGGGACCTGCATGTCCTTCTCAGTTTAAAAATCAGTAGGGATCTGTACTTCAGGCTTCTCTTGAAGTATCTGTGAGATTTGCACAAGATGTTTCCACTCAGATCCCCCAAATGTGCTTGATTGTATTCTGTTCTGCAGCAATGGAGACAGAAAAGGATCTTATTTCCTTTAGTCTCCTATTAATTATAGATTTGCACTTCTGTAGTTTTTGGGTGTGTGCATTGTTCTGGAACTGTTTTTCTCTCTCTTTCCTGGAATCCCTTGCAGCCATTGCTGTTCTCAAGGACAAAGAACCTGGGTCATTCATTGTTCGAGACAGTCATTCTTTCCGGGGAGCCTATGGGCTAGCAATGAAAGTTGCTACACCACCTCCTTCTGTGCTGCAGTTAAACAAGAAAGGTACTGTATGCCTTCTATTACTTAACAAGCCGTACATGGTAGGAAGTCCTTATTACTGGGTGATAATCTGGAGGAATCTTCCCTCTTCTAATAAGTGCAACTTGAATTACAGGCTCCATTTGGTACCTTGTTAAATGAGACTTGCTAAGATGTCTGTTGTAGTTTACAGTTTCACCATGGCTTGTAAATGTATGTCCATTGTGGCTATGCATGTATTGTACCTTATCAACCTAATAGAAAACCAGTGTCATCTCAGTAATGGGTCCTCCCTAGCAATCAGAAGTCTGCATTTGATCCACATACCACCATGTAAAGCTTTCGCTTGGCTGGAAGGTTGAATATTTTTGACCCCAAGGTTTTGTTTTGAGACAGTTCTACATTAGAGATAAATCTGAGGAGGTTCCCTAAGGAAAGACGATAGTTGTTTAAAAGAAGTAATGAAATACACCTACTCTCTCAGCTCCAGTGCCTCCATGTATAACTTGTGCCTGACAGTTGTGAAAGGTAAAATGAGAAGAACATACAGAAAACATTAATCAATGTATGGAAACTCAGCAGCCAGTATCTGTAGTGCTCTTGGCTCCATTTGTGCTACTGCAAGGGTAATGGGGTGGCTTTCATTGCTGCTGTTTTCCTTTTGCAAGGCTTATTATGTTTCATTAGTACACGCTGCCTGGTGAGGTAAGCAACTGAGATCACAGGAAAGCAGTGATTCTTAGCGTTGTGGCTGTGGAAGTGTGGTTTTGTCTGGTTGTGGCTGGTTGGTTGGCTGTTGGATTGTTTTTTGGGTTTTTTTTTAAGATTTCATGCTTACTCTGGGGCAGGTTGGCAGTCCACTTGTATTACAACAACACTTCCAAATTCTGTACACTTAATCTGCTATCTTGAGACAATTTCTAATAAAAATTTGCCATGTAATCCTTCTTTTTATTGCCAAGAAACATCAGCAGAACCACTGCAATGTCATCTTTAATGAAGACAACAGGGGTGCACTAGGGTGGTGATAGCAACAACAGGGAGGCAAATGGAGAGTGGCTGTAGGTGTTTTTAGCAATCTTTTTTTATCATCAGACCAATGAAGTCCGGGAAGACAGGAAAGTTCAAACTCTACTAACCTTTAAGAGCCAGTTTATTTTAGTTGTACCACAGGCAAGCGGTAGTAAGAGAAAATTTTACTTCAGACTGTAGCATTCTTCCACTTCTCGTGCTGTGATATTTAAATTTTTTGGTTCACACTGTTTCATCCCAGAAGGCACAAATTTGTTTAGTCTTCTGCAGGGTTTCTTGTTCCAGGCTTCCCCTTCCCACATACCCTTTTAGTCATTTATTTTTAATATTGTGAGAGCATAATGGCAAACAGTAAGCTGTTTGAAAAGGTGATCTTTGCAATATTTGCTTGCATAGAAGTTTCTGCTGTCCAGAATAATGTGTTCATCTGTATTAGCCTGAAAGTTAGCCCTTGGTGTCACGTGTTTCCTGGACTGTCGCTGAAAGATCAGAGTCAAAGGGAGCATTTGTGTTTGTGGCTCTTTTGTTAAGGTTTGAATGGTTGGGTAGCTTTGTCCTGTTGCTATGAAATAACCTTTTAATTACTTGGAGAGAGATTCAGTTTGTAGTCAGGTGTGAAAAACTGTGAACCAGTCTTTCAAGAAATAATGAACTTGTATTAATTATATATGTGCATATGTATGTATACATTTAAAAGAATGCTAAATCTCAAGGGAATTTTTATGTGCCTCTTGGACTGTGAATCTCCTCATTACATCCAACTTAACAATTTTGATTTGTGCTAGATTCCTGAGAGATAAAAACTGTCTCTAAAAATCTAGTGAAACCTGAGTGTTTCAAGTAATTGATTGTTTTCAGGAACAAAGACTTAGCGTAAAACTGCAAACATTTTAAAAATTCACTGAGAGACTTGGCATCATTACCTTTGTGTAGCTAAATCTATTGTTTTAATCTGGAAAAGTTCTGTGAGCAGAACTGTCACTAGAAATCTGAGTGTTTTATCGTACTTTTACTCCCTTGTCACGTTGGATACAAGTTCTTCTAATGGAGAAGTGCATCCAAATTTCTAACCATTCATTTTCCAAATTTCTGTTCCTGTCTGTAGTTGAGACCATGCTTGGACATTTTGGACACCAGTGTATATTTGGATTTCAGTCACGATTATAAAACCTTTTCCTCTGGTTGTCTGAAGTGAGCTATTTGCTTGTTTGTTTTTTGCAAAACGGCCTTTTTACTACAGCTTGTAACCTTGCAGCAGAGCAGGTTTAATGTATTCTTTGCATGCTGTATATAAAACATTTGGTGGTGCTTCATAAAGCCCTGCTAATTTGTGAAACTGTTGTCAGTTCATTGCTTCTCTTCATGAGCTTTCTTTTTCTTTTTCAACACAGTTGGAGATTTGTCAAATGAACTTGTAAGGCATTTTCTGATTGAATGCACTCACAAGGGGGTGCGCTTGAAAGGATGCCCAAATGAACCATATTTTGGTAAGTACTGTGCATCACAGGGACACAGGAAACAGAAACAGTTTGCATTTACCAGAGCTGTTTTTATAGACTTGGATGGAGTGCAAGTGAGAGAATACTTTGCTCAAGTCGTGATGATTTCTGTAGGAACCCATTCTAAGGTTATAGGAACCTTTTACACATTGACCTTAAGTGTATGTGCAGGGCACTCTAGTACAGATGCACATGACCAAGCTTCAAATGGTCAAGCTTGTCTACCACTACCAATGCCACTGCAGACAGCTGAGCTAGATGACTGTTACAGGCCTTATTGATTCAGAACCCTTGCCTTATTTTGTCCTGTGCTATATTTATACTGTATACTACCTGCCTAAAATGACATCAGAATGGGACATTCACAGAGTACATTATGCTGCATCAGCCTACCTAATGGAGTATAATGAAAACACATTACCTGTTGTGGCAAACAGCCAAACACCTACCTAGCTGCTCACTCATTTGCCCTCCTCAGTGGGGCAGGAGGGGAAAAAAGGATGAGAAAGCTCATGGGTCGAGATAAAGAGAGGGAGGTTACTAACTGGTTACTACCATGGGCAAAAGAGACTCAACTTGGGGAAAATTAATTTAATTTTTTGGCAATTAAAATCGATATTCAGGTAGTAAGAAACAAAGACAAACATTAAAATAACAGTTTTCCTTCCCCTTTCCCAAGCTCAACTTCACTTCTTCCTCCCAGACTCCTCACCCCCACTGCAGGCAGTGCAGGAGGGGATGGGGGGGGCATATGGTCATTACGGTTCCTCTCTGCTGTTCCGTCCTTCTCCCACTTTTTCCCTGCTGAGGTGTGGGCTTTCCCATGGGCTGCCAGTCTTCACGAAAAAAAATCTGTTCCAGCACGTGTTCTCCATGGGCTACAGTTCCTTCAGGAACTGTCCATCTGCTCCAGTGTGAGGTCCTCCATGGGCTGCAGGGTGGGGGATGTCAGCTTGGGTGCCTGGAGCACCTCCTTCTCCTCCTCCTCCTCTGACTGTGTTGTTCCCTCTGTTGTGTCTCACGCTTTTTGCTCCTTTCTTGTCTCTGCGGCCTTTTCTGCCCTTTCTTAGATACACTTTCCCAGAGGCATCCCAGAGGCATCCCACCTGTGGCTCAGCAGTGCCCTGCAGTGGGTCTGTTGGAGCTGGCTTTGTCTGGCATGGGGCAGCCCCTGGCCTCTTCCCACAGAGGTCACTCTGTAGCCTTCTCACCCCCTGCTACCAGCCTCATCATGTACACCCAATACACCCATGAAAGGGTCATCTACCATAAAATGAACAAGTGTAAAATGATACATCCTATTTGAAGTAAAGGTGGATTGAATTTTGTCAGTCTTTGGCATACGACTTACTTCAAATCAGAATTTTTAGCCCAGTCCTACCTTGTTCTTGAAGTACTTATTTATGGCACATATGTAGCCCCACTAATAATTTAGTTTGAGCATCTCCTAATCTAATCAATGTATACAGCCTCAAAACTGCTTCACAAAGTAGGTGGGCAGGCACTATCACATACTTGTATGGATAAGACAATGAAGGACTAATGGTATCAATTGGTCTGTGCATTTCTCTAAGACCCTTGCAGAATTGGGTCATCTTTCCATTTCACAGAAATTTTTGATGGGCTGTAAAAATGAGGTGGTTTTTGGTTGAACTGTGATTTTTCTCAAGTGCATGATCATAATGTTCACTGTATGTTAATAAATGGGATCAAAGGATGGCTTTTTGTGCAAACAGACTGATGAATCTTGCACCTTCCTCTCGCTCCTTGTAGTCTCACATGCTAATGTCAAAGATGACTAACGTTTAATTATTTTAATTAAGCCAAGTCCAAGTGACAAAAGTGACTGAATAGAAAAGAAGAATAATTTAATAGAGAATGCTGTGTACATCACTGCTGCATTGAATGGAGGAGGTTTTATCTTGATCATCCTTTATACTTTCAAAAGCACTAAATAGAGGTGCATGTAGATAAAGCACTAGACAGTGGAGACTAGGTGGCTAGAAGGCAGAACTCCTCGCTCTTTCTCTGCTTCATCACATAGCATTGATCCCTTGTGCTGTCACCATCTTCATAAGATTTTACTACATTTAATGTAGCAGAAGTTAAGAGCATTGAAAAGAATTTACTGACTTCTATATGTTACTGTTTTTGTCGGTTTTGTGCTTTCTACATTTGAAGCAAAGCCATTTAGGTTAGGATTTAAACAGTGTGTTTAAGCAGGGAAAGGGAGCGTATGATTGTGATTAATGAGTTCAAGTACATCCAACTGGTACAGTGTTGGGAAACATGAATACACTGAAGTTGACCGAAGAAGGTCTTGGCTTAGGTGCCAAGAGAATTTTTTTTAAAGGGCAGCGGTGGGAGGCCCCTTGGACTTGAGAGCCACCATAACTGTTAAGCATTCTTGTTGTCCACCAAGTTAACTGTATGTGTCTTGTTACTCTTCTGACCACAGGGAGTTTGACAGCTCTGGTGTATCAGCATTCCATCACTCCACTGGCATTGCCCTGCAAGCTCCTCATCCCAGACAGAGGTATGCTTGTTAAAGTACAGAAGAGAGATACCCAGCCAAGCTCTGCTTCAAAGTGCCAGTTCTGAAGGCAGGTGAACATGTCACAAGTCGAGATCTAAGCAAGAATGCACAGGGAAGGAAGCTGTGTTTTAAAAGTGGTTCTTCAGTACTGCTGACGGCTCTTACCCAAGCTGTAGTTGCGAGCAGACTAGTACTGTGATATTCCAGTCATAAACGTGTATGCGTCATGGAAATCCGCAGAGTAACCTAGCATGTAGTAAGGCAAATGTGCTTCTCAGACATGACATTATGCCCATGTATGGTTGGATGTAACCACTCATTGAGGTCTGGGTGGCACAACGGCTTTAGGGAAGGCAAGTAGGTAAAGAACAGAAGGTGCCCTGAGTGCGACACTGGCAAGAAGGAAGCAGCAGCTTACTCAGGTCCAAATATTGTTTAAGTAAATGATCAAAAAGCCTGTGTTGCATCATGGGACTGTAATTCTAATTTTGGTTATGGTGATTTCATAAACCACTCTTAAGACAACAGCAAAATGTAGCTATGCTTGCCCCATAATTCAGTTGTCTGTTACTCTCCCACATGAAGTTAACACCAGATGTATTATTGAAATGTTAAACATTCTTGTGGTTTTCTACTGAACTCTTTAAACTTTTGTTAAAGGCCATATGTCAGTGTTCAAACATAGTATTTGAATTATGCAAATACATTAATGAAACCGTTTTAGCACAAAAACATGCTATGGTAGATGTGACCAGAGATCTCTTTATATGGCAAACCAGTGTGGTAGGTGGACTTGTTCTCCTTATCTTCACCACCTAAAATGGAAAGCTCCTTCTGTTCTGGCAGAGGTGCATGACTGAAACATTTGCCTTGTCCTGAATAAACATACCACAGTGAAATTTTATTTTGGATTTATTTTTTAATCCGATGTGATCACACATTTTAAGATGATCTTCTGTGGTTAATGATTCTGGACACAGTACGTGGAGTATTTAAAGCATATGGATAAGTCTAAACATGTGAATAGTGTCACACACCAGATTACTGCTCTCTTCCTCATTTAAATGTATTCAAAGACGGCGTGCATCATGTTAAATACATCAGTAAGTGAGATCTTTTTACATGAATTTATATAACTGAAATAACATACTGATGAACAGTTTTCTTACTAATTTTAACAGAAGATTGGGAGGCAGACATTCCACTGCTGTCTTAATAGTTCAGATGTTTGTTTTCTATGTAAGTATGAAGAAAGAAGGATTATCTTGTCATCTGCTGAATCAAAATACAATTAATTGATTTTGTCATAGAAACACAGTCTTTGTGCCTAAATTAGTGTAAATTATACAAATTAAATGAGATAAATGAGATAATTAAAATCGCACTATTTTAAAAATGTCAAGGTTGTAATGAGGGAATATAGCTATTAGTGTTTGGTTTAATGTGACATCATGTGTGTCCCTGCAGCCTATGATATGTAGTTATGTCTTTTACTGTCGGGAAATAAAGGTTGAGCATCCCTGCTGCAGCACTGGAGGCTAAAAAACTGATGCAGCACAAAAACCACATGAATGATTATAGTTGCAGATACAAGACTGTTTGGAGTTGTCCAGTAGATGAGATCACAGTTAGAAAAGCTAAACTCATACTTAACCATGTGCATTGATTTTGTCGATTCAAGTCCAAACAAGACATGGACAGTGTTTTCTGTTTGCAGATCCCTTGGAGGAGATAGCAGAAACTTCTCCACAAACTGCTGCAAACTCAGCAGCGGAGCTTCTCAAACAGGGTGCAGGTCTGTTAAACTTTTTCCTTGCATTTGACTGTCACCAAATTTTGTATCTTACAGGCTGGGAAAAGCTGAAGCTTAGACTGGACTGAAGGATGTTTAAAGGGAGCAGTTAAATTTAGAGTGCTGTGTAGAAGTGTAAAGGGCACTGTGAGGATATGTACCCAGTTCTTTCTGTTTTCTGCAACCAGCTCTTAAGTTCTACAACCCTGTGTTTGCTTTCCAGTCGTGTCTCCCATGACAATATGAGGTACATGTAGATTGGTTCAAGCACAGCAATTTTTAAGCGGTGACGTTGCTTTCATAACTGATGAACTTAGAGAACGTATTTTCAACCTGTGGTTACAGAGGTTCGTGAACTATGTCTGAAGTCTGCAAAAGGCAACTAAGGAAAGTGTTTAGTAGGGATAAATTCTCAGCATAGGGGTCAACAATACCACTGGAAAATGCTTACGATCTCATCAATCTGAAAAAAAATATTAAAAAACATTGCCCTGTGCTTCACTTGATGCTACATGTTGTTAGGAAATGTCCAATGTCTTTTCCATTGGATGCTGTTTTATGGATTGTCATGCACACTGCAGCACCCATTCTGGCAAGTTAGGTTGTCTTACCATGAGCTTATTGATGTGACAGAAGAACCCTGTGTGTGGTGTGTGGTGATGTCCTGACCCACCATTATTGGACATGGTGCTCTGAGTACCCCTTCGTAATCTTAAGGCTGTCCTTAGTAGAAATGCAGCCACTGTGTTATTCCCCTGTACAGTGGGCGTGCCCAGGGGATCCTGTCCACACCCTGCCATGGTCCCTGGTTTTTGGGCTGCTATGAATTCTCCCCGGGATCTGTCTACCCGATTAGTCCCATTAGAGCAGGAGAATACACTACATTTGTCACTCTCCTTTGAGTTTAGCCTACCACTGGAGCTACAAGCAAAGTAGGGTGGCCAAGCATGCCTTTATAAGAATGCTGCCTCATTGCCCTCACCCATTTTAGGGCACTTCTGAAGGGGACAGTTGCCAAGCCGAGTAGCTCTGGAGAGGGAGTGTTGCTCCTTGCTTGTGCAGCAATCTGCTTTGACTTCAAATTTTTAAGTACCACTTCGAGTGCTGTAATCAAGCAGGAAT